GTTTATTTTATGTAGCTAACTAACTCTCTGAGTACATTTATGCCAGGAGTAATTTTACAGCCTCCCTTGACACTACCATATGAAAACAGCAATCCAAAGCATTAGTATTGCTCAAGGAAAGCAGGTAGCATTAACTATGACACAAAAATGGTGAGCTTGGAAAGACAAGGAGCATGCTCAGATGTACCTAAAAGCCTGTCCAACATGACAAATTAAATTGCACATTGAGGTAGTTAATGCATCCAAATTTGGATCAATCATATGGTAGGAAAGGATGGTGAGGGTTACATGGATACAGTGGAAGACAGTTCCTCACAAAGTAGCATGTCCATAAGGGATGTTTAAAATCTGACTATACCCAAGAGTCATGGTACATAGTAAAACATGATCCTATTGCTAGAACAAATGTGATTCTTGCACATAAAAGCACAAATAGTCCTGCAATAGCAGAGATGTGGCATTATCTTAGTATACATTGCTGTTGAAGCAGCAGCAGAAACTACTCCACTGTATCAAAAGAGAATGTGTAGTTTTATGTCAGTGTTCACAGTCTAAAAACAACACAGAAATGGTCAAGAGTTCAGGGAAGAGCTTCAAGAAAGACACAACATCTGAAAAACATACTTCTAGCAACAATCTTAAGAAGGTCAACCCAAGTTTGCCCAACAGAAGGTCATAAGATTATTTGTAATTACCAGCACCAGAAGAAATGATAATAAATAAGGTTTTCTAATTAGGTAGAGAAAAAAACCCAAGAATATAATTTGATGAGTGGTTAGAAGACAAGCAAATTCAGAGGAACTATAGGGAGCACTGTTTAACAAAAGCCATTACCGATTAGAACCATTTACATAGGAATGGGATAAGCTGCCACAGTTTGAGACCTTGAACTGAAGACAAAACAGCCTTTTTTCAAAGATACAATGCATCTCAAGAAATGTTGGAGCAGAAATTATTGGGTGAGATTTATTGTCAGAACAGATAATCGTAAAGGTCCCTCTGGTTTAAAAATATGAAAAGTGCCCAGGAAGAACAGAAAAGACCTCTGAAAGCAGTGAACTATATCTGAACAAATTGTGCTGTGTTATGAAAGAGATTTTAATTACTATTAGAAGTTGCAAAAGAACATGAAATCTTTTTGAAAGCCACAATTTCTTTAATAAATATTAAAAATCCAGTGAGTAAATCCTTCACGTAGCTGCCAACAACTGAAGAAAAAGGATGTCTGTAGAAAACAAAAAAGAGGTCACAGAAGTATTCCTTCTCTGCAAAACCTGAGTGTAAGTGTAGAATAATTTTGGTGCAACTTAGAGCAACACCTGGCCTACTACTTTAAACAAATAAGAAAGAGTTTTGTACTCTCATAAAATCAAACACAGAAAACAAAGGAAGGTGTAAAAATTACAGTCCAGAGATTGCTCCATGTTTTGAGTTTGCTCTCCCCAGTTTTTGAAAGCTGGCCTTGTGCCTCATGTTTTTGTATATTTGCAGAGGAATTGTGGTTGCAGAATACCACCAAGCCACCCCTGTGTGCTGGTGCCAGTGACAATGTGCAGTTGCAGGCTGCAAGGGAGACTCAAGCTCTGGCACAGGATTGCCTGGCAAGTGCTGTTTTGATGTGAAAACAGATGGTGCTTCAGTGGTGTTTTGCTTTGAGATTTCTGGGTTTGCTCAAATCCGGGAAACTCGGGAGGAGGGAAACCATAAGCAGATGAAAACATACCCAACTAACAAACAGAGTTTGCACAAGCTCCCCTGTGCACAGTCTGGGGAGAAGTGTAACCCTGGCCTTTCCCACTGGAGCCACACTGGGGCCCAGCACACAGGAGCCGTGCCGTGAGCGAGGACGTGCAGACAGTGGGAGACCCACCAACCCAGCTCCTGGGCAGATGGGAAAGGAAACAGGAACTCAAAACAGAATCATGCTTTACAGAAGATTTTTTTTTTTCTAAAATAAATCCCAACAACCACCAGCTGGTTCTCATTTCGGTCTGCAGATGAATAGATTTTGAGCAGAAAAGCAGCAACAGATGCCACAGTGCTGCTCTGCAGGAAGCAGAGAGGCAGTTATCCACATGGAACTCACCCCTGGGATTTACAACCCAGGAGGCTGTGCCATGCCAAGCTGGCCCACAGCCTGAGAGCTGCACCCTGCCAATGACTACTGCTGTTGCTCTTCCAGCCCTAGGTGCATCACAAGGCATGTGCTCTGGGAGCTGGCATAAAGTCTGCCTTTCCTTTCACATCCTCAGAACTGCTCATGAGCTGGGGAAGTGTGGAGGGAGGCACAAGAAGAGAGGTGGGACAGACAAGGCAAGACTTTAACAGGTGTCCCCAGGAGGGAGAACAGGGCCTGTCCTGAGCTCTCAGCAGTCTTTTGGCAACAGAAGGCAAAGATGATCTGCCAGTTACAGGTTTTACCTACTGAAGTCCCCGTGGTTTTTCACTACTTAGACCCAAGGGAGAAGAGCTGAGGGCCGCAGTCTTTCAGGAAGCATGTCACCTCCCTCCATGTACACCTTACTCTGTGTGAGAAAGCCCCTTGAAACCAACTCCACACAGGCCCTGAGAGCCTCTCTGCTTGGTCTGCAAAACTGTTTGCCCATAAGGATTCAAGTTACATCAAGTGACACACAGGAGCCCTGGGACACAGTCCAGCCATCCAAAGTCAAGCCCCCAGCCTGGGGCTTGCCATCTCTCACAGCACCAGCCCACCCTCAGCCACAGGGGTGTACCTGATAGAGCAGCAGCAGCCTGGCAGCTTCAGCCATAAAGCCAGGAGTGGGAGTCCAGCAGGTAGGGAATGGCCTTTGCAAGGTGGCTGCACATTTCCTGCACCGCCAAGGACCACCCTTGTGCCAAGATGGGAAGCAGAAGGCTGGAGCTATTTTCATGGCTTTTACAGAGCCTACAAAATCCTCTCTCCAAGGAGATGTATATAAGGAATTACTGGTGGATTAGTTCAAGCTGAGCCTTGAGGAGGAGGCAACAGGTTGGGTTGGTGTGGAATGGGACACACATGTGTGTGCTGCAGAGGCAGCCTCAGAATGGTCTGGCCCAGCATTCCTGCTCCCCAGGGCTCTTCCTGGGGCAGCTGGCTGCAGGTGTGCTGCAAGCTTGCTTGGTACCTGCTGGAGCTGGGCTCAAATGAGAAACAATGTGGGTGGGGATTAGCACAGCGGGCTCATGGCAATCACTGTCTCTTCTGAGGGCGGGCCCTGTGTGTTTTCCAGCCATTCCCATCCATGCCACAGTCAGCATCCTTTAGTGCTAAGCCTAGACCATAAACTTCCTGGGATGGACTCCATGTCAATTTGTATATAAAACAAAGGGACAGCACATACATGCTTTATATAAACAGATACTGGAGTAAGAAACTTTGCCACAGTTAACATTTCTGCAGGTCAGCCCAAGTCCTTGTTATGATTGCAAATGGCTTTTCAAGTACAGCTCTTCCTGTCGAGGAATGTGCGTGTGGAATATCGGCAACGCATCGCACACAGACACATCGCTGTGCCAACAGTGCACATGCACGCTCCCTGCTCCAGAACTACATCCCAACAGTGCACATGCACGCTCACTGCTCCAGAACTACATCCCAGCAGTGCACATGCACGCTCATTGCTCCAGAACTACATCCCTACAGTGCACATGCACCCTCACTGCTCCAGAACTACATCCATACAGTTACCTCATGCTCCCTCCTGACCAACAACCTCCCAAAAGCCAGAACATTTTTCGGGTTTGGAGAGCAACCTGGACTTGCTAGTTAATGTCACATCAGCTTGTTGTGACAAATCAAGAGGATTAATGGGCTTTCTGCAGTCCTAGAAAAGCAGATTTCTTTCAGACTAAATAGTCCAGTTTCTCTGGCTGTTCCTGCCACCTTACAGCTACCTGGCACAGAAAGCTGACAGCCCTGGTAAGGGAAAGGGCCACATAGGAACACAAGACTAGCAGGCAGTAATTCTTGCACTTGTTTAGAGCTGGACTAAAAATAAAGGTTCTTGAGCACATTTCACTGTAAAAAGCCTGCATAATTCAGACAAGTTTTACCAGTAAATTGTAGCTACAAAGGAAAAACCCCACAGCCTTAAAAGGTCTCTGGAAACCCATCCAAAAAAGTGTTCTGTCCAAGTGCCCTTTACAAGAGGGCGGTGGAGAACAGGGTGGGAACTCAGATGCTAAAGACAGATCTGGCCTGTCGGGAAAAGAGCAAACTTTGCCCCCTGTCTCTGGTGTGTGCTGCCACCAGGACAGCATGTCCGAGTGCTCTGAACTCCAAGCAAGAGGCAGCCCTTTGCTTACTCATTTCTGTATTGCCACCCCCGGAATATGCGCACGCTGTGTCCTGCTGCTGCCCTGGGAGCTGACTTTAAGGGAACTCTGGGAAACGAGGAGGAATCTTTGCTTACCAGACTGCAATGAGAACCTTTTATGAAAAGTTCTACCCCTGTGTTTGTATGTTTATCCAAAGACAAAACCAAACATTAAGTGCATTTTCAAAAAAACCTAAACAAATACAACCCCCAGATACACAGACCTTGCTCCCCTCATTGCTCAGGTAAGACCTCCCCTTTTTTTCTGCAACACGGTGAGTGTAAGGAGTTGACACTGTCCACCAGTCACCAGCCTCCAAGTGTCATTTCTGGCTTCCTCTCCTTTTATTCCTTAAGCCTCTACTTGCTTGCTCTTTCCTTCTCACAGTCTACCCTCAGCATTTCCTCAACGTAAAACGGAGCCTGTGACCTTTTGCAGATGGTGAAGTCAAATATGAACTGCCAGAAATCATCCCTTCTCATTTGGCCTATAAAGATTTCCCCACAAGTACTCAGTTTTATTTCATCAGCTATCACTTTTAGATGTTCAGAGATGCAAACTTTCTTTTAATTCTAAATGCTAAACCCTCTACTTAAATTCAATGCCCCCTTGAATGCCCCATCACTAGGTGAGGAGCAGCACCTATCCCTGAGAATGCAGGGGAGAGAATTCAGCTGAGCCAAGATGAAAAAGGTGGGTTTATTCCCCAGCTGAAAGCATTGTAGAACTTTTAGTAGTCACGAGGATGTCCAAGCTTTACTACACGACACATATATCAAAGCTGACTTCCATGAAAAATCTGCATCAGGGTAAATCCATCTTTGTCATGAGTAGGAATAGCTGTGACAAGGCAGTTGGCACTTCAGGCTCTGAATTCAGGAGTGCATGAGTGGAAAGACATCTGTGACTCAAACCTGTTGGTAAGATCATAAAATGTCCTTTCCAGCTTTCCATGAAACTATTTGGACTGCTGTCTGACTCTGCTGGCACCAGCCCTCCCTGAGAGGGGGATGCTTTCATCTGTATTTGCACTGGGGAATTTATTGAACGATTAAATCAGCAGCAGCTCTCCCAAGGCTCCAGCTGGCACAACAAGTAAGGCACCAAGGCAGGAAGCAGCCAAGAATGTGGGGCAGTGAGCCAGGAGCAGCTGCCTTCTCCACGGGCCTTCAGGTGCTATCCCCAGTCTCAGCAGAGTGGTCTCTGACATGTCCTGGGCACGCTCTCATGGTGCAGGGCTTGGAGTCATGCAAGCAAAAATGCTGCTGGGGTTTCCCATTTAGGCCTGCAGCATTATCCGAGAGATGGGTGCACTTACAGATGGCAGACCAAATTTTTCCATTAAAGATCCACCTAGAAATAATGGGGGAAGCCCAGGCAGGCAAAACGAGCATGGCGACATTCAGCAAAACTCCTCCACTTTCATGATAAATTAATTAGTCTGGAGGCAGTGCAGTGAGCAGAAGCATCCTCAGCTTGCTGCAGCAGTGAGTCATCCCCTACTCTTTCCACTGTTTAAAGACTGCCCTGCTCAACTGCCAATGCATCTGTGGAAACAGAGTGAAACAGAATTGACATGAGTTAGTAGGTAAGGGCTCCCTTAAAGGTATTTAATAGAATTAAATATTTTAAATAATTAAATAATTAGTTAAAGGTATTTAATAAAATATTTTAATTTTAACTGCCCTACTGGTGTTGAGAGGATGACACACAACTGGTAAGTCAGGTTTATTGGCATTTTCCAGGCAACAAATGACAGGTCATGAGACCCTGACAGTGTATGGATGGAGGTCAACAGTAGCCACAAGGATTGTCTAGTCAGCCTTCAAACTTGACATAATTGGAAATATAATGTGCCTGCTCACCTCCAGCCAAATCGTCTTTCCTCTCACAGTGAAATAAAATAGGGAGACAAAGATTGGCTAATATTCCTTGAAGGCTTGTTTGTATCTAGACATTAGCATGTCTGATGGGTTCTGTTGCTACTGGACTTTGTCCTCTCAAATAAAAAAGAAACAAGAACCTAGCAGTATTGTGAAAATTCCCATATCATCCTGAAATGTTTATTGTGACTGTCAAAACATACAAACATATTTTGCACATTGTAAAACATGTAACTGGGTCTCAGGTCAGGAGAGAGAGAAAAGTGGATCTGTACCATTGTATTCTTGCTTAAATGCAACAATTCCCCCCTCACAGCAAATAATTTATTATTATTATGCTGATGCAGGGCCAGGATCATGCATCCAAAACTGTCTCAGGTGTCACAGACTCAACAGGCTTTCTGCATAGTACTGCTCATGAACCCCTTCTGATCTGCATTTCAGATGCCTGGTTTTGAATACAAGAGATATAAATAGATCAAGGCCAGATCAAGAGGTCTTCAAAGCCACTATGACAAATGCTGGAGGACAGCAATGCATCATGAATGTAGCAATATTTTCCTAAATTTCTCCTATGGCAACCTCAATCAGACCCCAAGATCTCTCATGTTACCCCCCCCAGCCCTCTGTTGAACTTTCTCCTTTCCCAGGGAAGTCAGGCAGTAGGTCACCATACATATTATTCCTAAGACATGTTGTAATTGATTTAGAATTGATGAAAGATGACAGCCCCAGAGTCCAGGACAGAGCACTAAGGCAAGCTGCCTAGGTACTGCCTGGTATCAAAATTTCTCCAGGGAAAGGGGGCATTTAATCTTTTAAATAATTAATCATTCAAGCTTCAGCCTGCTCCAGGTGTCCTTCCCTGGGAATGCCAATTAATATTCAATATGGCATTTTCTAAACTATAACTTTGAACAGTTTATGAACTTGGCAAAGATGGTGAACTCACCAGAGACCACAGAGTGGCCATGAGATGACTGTCAGCAAGGATTGTTGAACACAATTAGCTAGGGTCATGTTCTAAGCAGTGACTCAGAAATGAGTGACTCTCTAACCTTTTTGCCAACCTTGCTTCTTTGCCTCCTAATGATTGCTAAATTGAATCTGAAGCAACCCCACTGCTGACAGGAACAAGAGCTCTGATTCCTGGGAACAAGTGTTGATGACAGAGGGATGGCTGGTTTGGTAAAGCACTGGTTCCTGGGCTCTGCTCCATCAGATGAATGTTTCCTTATTATGTTCCCAAAATCCCTTGGGCAGGGGAACATGCAGTAGAAGCACACTCAGTCTATTTTTCAGAGACTTACCCCTCCAGGCTGTCAAAGATCTGAAGGAGCTGGCAACCAGCCCACACTTATTCTGATAAATGCTATTTGCAACTAAAAATGGATTAAAATAACCTCTGAAAGCTTGTCTGAAGGGGAACAAGCAGTCTTCTTCAGAGATGCCATTAGCAGGAAGATGTGGAGAAGGCTGTTCTGAGGGCTGTTTATTTTTGGCTTTCACCCCACTTTGTCTTTTGCCCTGGCCAAATATAAAAAATAAGGAAATTATAATTAGCACTTGGGGCACTGTCGATGGGAGCAGCAAACAGGCTATGGCCAAAATTCAAGCTCTGATCTCCTCTGCTTCTTCATCCATTTCTCTCCTCATGACATGGACCCAGGGAATCTGAGCTTTGGCCACTGTATCCACCAGACAGCATGAATTTTCCATTTACAACAAAATGGTGATATATCAGGCATTAGGCACTGGCCAACTTTTTTGCCTGCCTAATCCTGCCCTTAGTCTTGTGGATATTCAAATATTCCCTTCACAGCTATCTGGAAGTGAGAGAAGTGCAGAAGTTTGAAGGGTGAAGTTTTAAAGGTTAAGAGAAGGAAAATGCCAATTTACCATTACATTTTTAATCATTAAATAGCCATATACAATTCAATGGTTGAACTGGGAGGAAGATATGAGCTGATGCTGTGAGAAGACGGGTGCACATTGAGAAATCAAATTGAGCCTTTGGTCCTAGAAGACAAGTGGGTAGGTCAGGATTTCCAAAATCTCATCCCACTGCTGTAAGACATAGGTGACAACAGTGATGGGAGCTTTGCCATCCCTACACTGGAGCAGAGTGAGTCTCCTGGCCTAATATCCACCACAAATTCAGGAGTTTTTGCTGTTTCCAGAGTTAGCTGTTGCAGCTCAGCTCTCCAAATGAATCCTTCTCAGAAGGGACAACCCCACCAAATCCCATATATGACCAAACAGAGGATGATGGGGATCCTGTCTCCATCTGATTAGCTGGTTGGTCTGCATGCCCACCCCTCAGCACCATGAGGCCCCCCTGGCCAGCAGACCAGGTGACCATTTCAGTCTCAAAAAAGTGCTTGTTTCTTCTTCCCAGCCTCCTGGGGGTCAGTGTACCCCACCAGACATCACAGGTCACAGGCAGAGCAATGGGTTTTGGCTTCATGGTGAGGTGTGATACACTCTGCCTCCTAGAATAATTCCAGAGTTTTGTACCCCTATGGCTGCCAGGACCTGGGACACTGGGTTTGCTCTTAATCATTCACACCCTGTTCCTGCAGCACCTTAAAGTTGTTGCAGGTTTTATCCTCTATGCTGCAGGTCTGAAGTTAGTATGCAATAAATTCACTGTGTGCAGGGAGTGCTCAGTGATCTGGGCTGGGAGGGATGCAGGAGTCAGGCAGGAAATTCCAGTTGTGCCTTTCCAGACATCAGGGTACCCCGCTCAATGGCAATTCTGCTTTAAGGTACACTATGACTCAACAGCTTTGCTGTCTTTCCCTGTTTTCCACAGGTTCCAGACTCTTCCCAGGCTACAGGAGTCAGCAGTAAGCCTACATTAGCATCCTCTTCTTCTCCTAGTTGACATTCTGGTAATCATCAAGCCATGAAGGAAAAATTCAGCTATAGCTGATATTGATATTCAACCCAAGGTGCCAAGCTTACTACTGCTTAATAGCAATAGCCTCCTGCCTCCATGTGAATGTATTTTTGCACTGAAATACTTGTGCTTTACATATTTATTAGTTAATTACAAATAAGAAATTAGAAAATCAGTCCTGTGCATGTAACAAATCATAAATTAATGTATTTTCCCTTAAAAGCTTCATGGGTAACTGTAAGGAGCTAGTAAGAACTTGGCTGTCTGTTTCACACATCTTCACAATCCTTACCTTCCTCCTCCACTTACTTGCTGACATGATTCTTTGCAGTCTTCCTTTTGCTATAGATTTGCAGCTTGTGGGTCTTTGCACTGAGGTTCACAACACTCTGCTCCACTGACTGATCTACAAGGATTCTTCCAGTCTTCCTGCTTAGAAATCCCACATTAACTCCTGTATAAAGACTAAGAAAGACAAAATGCCGTTAGTTTTCTGTTGCCTTTTAGTTAACAGAAATAAATTTACAAAGACCCATGGTTCATAAAAGGAATAAACAGAACAGGTTGTTTCTAAACCTCTTTGACTCCCTCTGCTATGAAACTGCTGGAAAGTCATTATTACTTTTTTAATAGTTGATGCATTTCCTCTCTCTCTTCCCAGCCTACCAAGAATACTGGAATCCCATTTTAAAGCTCTTTGTTTCCATAACAGGAAGTGTGGAAAGTGCTATAGAAGCAAAAGGAGAGAGATTTGCCAGACCAGAGGCTTCCAGGAGCCAAGACAGTGAGAAAAAATCCTGCACTAGCATAAGATTTACAGTCAAATTGCCAGAGCTGGGTTAGGGTGACACGAGTTACCATGAGTAACCAGCCACGCACACAGGATGAGCCAGGACTATTGCAAGGGAAATGAAATTCACTCAGCCTGTGAAGACAGGCAGTAAGCTGATCTGCTCATCCTGGCCTGCAGCACGTACACTCAGACAGCTGCCCCTGCTCAGCAGCTGCACTGGGACCTGCAACGGCATGGCAAAGCCAGGGAGCATGGGAGCCCCTCGGGACCCAGAGCCCTTCAAAGCAAACTGTTCCTTAGGGGTGTCATTGTCACAGGGACCCGAGCACATGACAGAGGCAGGAGAGATGGCCACCAGACGCTGTGCTGCACCTTCCCAGAGCAGGCTGAGTGTGCAGCCAGGGGCAAGGGCTGTCACTGCAAGAGGAGTCACTGCCCACAGTTTTTGGTCCCTTTGCCCTCTCACATCTCCTCCACCTTTTTCCCATACCTGCAACTAAGCAGGCTCCAGGTTTCCCTTTATGAAAATATTTCCTGTCCAGCCTTATGTTAGCCACCTCCTGTCCCCAGGCAGCCAGGTTAAATAGCAGCAGTGGCATCAGCTGTACTGCAAACACCTCCAAAGGTGTCTGCTTTAGGAAGATGGAAAGCCAATGCAGAATCTCCAAAATTTGCCCTGGTCTACAGGCCAGAAGCACCATTTCATTCATTACTGCCATGTTGGCTCCAGGAAATGTTTGGAGCGAGACAGGAGCCACCAAACTGCAGCACCAATGGTATCGTGTACTGGCACAGGATAAATGGGATGCACCCCTTGATCCTATCAGCTACAAGAGAAAGCAAAGCTCAGCCCTAGAGAGGGCAGAACTGTGTGTACCTGGTACAGCAGAAGAGACACCTTGCTGGGATAAGCGTCCTGCAGTACCCCATTCTTCTCCATACTCTCCCCATGCCCACAGCTAGCTCTGGAACAGTTGGGCTGCTGGGCTTTCATTTTACAGAGTGGTCAACTCTGAATGCTAAAAATTGTCCTGGAGACATTGTCACCTGAAATGTTAAAGGGATGTTTTAGTACAAGTGCCCACCTCACCTTTTGCTCACAGCAGGGCACAGTAATGGGGAATGCCCCATAGCAAAGTTTCTACCCTGCTCCCCCACTTTGATCCCAGGGCTGACAGACCTCACTGACCTCACAGGGCCTTTTGTGGCCAGAAGACAGCACTAGAAATTGGTGGCAAGAAATGCACTGCAAGGGATATATTTTGAGCTGGGCTAAAAATAGAGCTCTGACCCTGCTTGTGTATATATAGCAAGACCTATATGTGCTCCTGCTGGCAGTCAGTCAGTGCAGGGGCAAAGACATCCCTGCAATGTACCCCCAGTTCTGCTGAAAGAGCAAAGCTGCTGGGTGCAGCTCCAGGGTGCCTCCAAAGCAGTGCATCCCAGGGGCAGAGGGGCAGCAAGCCTGGCTGCCATGGGCAGAGGTGGTAACTCCTGATGTGAAACAGCCCTGACAATACCTTCTTCTCCAGGACATTGGATGGGGCAAATCCAATGGGAGCCCCACCAGCTCAGGACTGCACCTGGAGCGTTCTGCAGCACCCTCCTGCACAGGATTTGTGTGGCCTCCTCGCAGGCACCTTGGGAGAAGCTGCAGAGTGAGAAGGAAGGCACAGTGCTGTAACGTGGAAGGTGTAGAGCTTGCAACAGAGGTGCAAACTTCAAGTGCAAGACTTCTGGTTTGTGGCTACCATCCAGGCTGCAGAAGAACAAACCCTTTCCTTTCACCCCACTGCATCCAAACACTCACACTCCAGTCTGGCACTTTATCCAGACCCATGTGCCTTGGGCTTTTATCCTGATAGCTCAAGACAGGTTCATTACTATCTTTAAATCCCATTCTTTTTCTTTGCACAAAATTATCAATTTCCGCTCAGAAAAAACCACCACATTTCTGGTCCACCTTTAGAAAAGTGTTTGAGTCTTGAACTGTAGTTGAAAACAAGGAAAGGAAACCAAAATTAATACTTAGTTTAATCTCAAAACTTTTTCTGCACATAATTCCTATTTTTCGCAGCCTGAAGCCATGGCTGAGCAGGCAGGGGCAAATGGGGCTGATTGCCTGAGTCCTCTATGCAGAAGGGAAGCAGGTGTCTGATCCTGTTACATCAGGACATTGCTCTGCTGAGCCTGCATGGAAAGAGTAATCCTCTCTCTTGCCTTGGGCCTCTTGAGTCCTCCTTGTGCCCATGGTACTAAACACACCAGAAGAATTGCTTTTAAAATCCAACAGGACTATAAATATCAAAGAGCAATTCAAAGCCCTGTACCCTTCCTCAATACCACATTGCCCATAAGATGTGGACCTTGTTGCCTGAGACCAGCTCTGGTTTTGTAAGCACTTCCTGAGATGTCTGTGAGCTCCAGAATCAGGAGCCGTTTTTGAAATCATCTTCCTCCTCTGTGATTCTTTGAGCAGCCATGAAAGGCTTAACTAGCTGTGCACTGTGCTGCCTCACCAGCAGCAGCTTCCCACATGGCTGTAGCAATCAGGGCTGCCAATAGCCACAAATAGCTCACAAGCTGCCTGGCAATGCCAAGCTCCTTGGTGTCTGCTCTCCCATGGGCAAGTTCAGTCAAGAATCAGGTTTCCAGGGCTCACTATACAAGACAGGGAGATTGTTAAGGCAGTGGCAGCAGAGGAAGCTGGAAGCCAGCAAGATAGTAGGAGGGGCCAAGGAGAAGGGCTTTGGTGGCTGCCTCTAGGTTAAGGCAGCTTGTCTCTCTCCTCAGGGCCATGCAGCTTGAGACCCTCCCCAGGGTGACAAAGCCAGACACAGAGCTGGACAGGGGTTCTGCTGCCTCCTCTGCCTACACTTCCCTCCAGGATGTGGTGGAATCAGGTTTAATCCCAGAGCCACATCAGGCAGGTAAGGACAGGACACAAGTCTTCATCTCTGTCCCACTGAAGGTTAGTGCTCTGTCTGCTGGCTGCAGGACAAAGTAACACAAAATGCCAATGTTTGTTGACCTTTACCTGAGGCCTATTCTAGGAGACCTGGTCTGAGTTATGGGGTCAGGCCAGTCTGGGACTTCAGAGAGTGTGCTGTGCAGAAAACCAGAAACTTCATTATTGTGATTAGCTGAGCATGTGGGTTTAGGGTGGAATGATTGTGACACTGAAGTGTTTGGTACAGAATCCCAAAGACAGTGGGTCCCATTTGGATTTAGTCCTTCAGGACAAGCTGGTGCTGACTTCAGCCTTAGCTTTGCCCTCTGAGATCTGGCAGGACAACAGATTCAATATCTGGTATTGACATGACTAAGTCCAGTGCCTGCACAAAGCAGATAACTGAATGGGAAATGCAGTAATGAACTAAAAAGGGAAATATATTAAAGAAGAAATACATAAACAATATTAATAGAGATCAATAAAAATAATGAATTAAATTAATAAATAACAGATCCTAGAGTCATCTGGTTCTGGGATCCTGTTTTCTGAGACTATGCCCTAAATAACAAACCGCTCAGAGCTGAGAACACTGGAGGGTCTCACACTTGCAGCATGGCTCCAGCACAGCCCTGCAGCCAGTCCAGGGAAGAGGCTCTCTTTCTTTGACTGCTGTAGCCCTATGAAGTCTGTGGCTGCCCCAAGGCCACAGTAAAAGCCTCTGCCACTGTCCATCTGCACACACAGCTGCTGCAGCCTCAGGTACCACACGGTCAGGTGTAGGGGAGCTTGCCTGGATAACACAGAGTACCTCCCTAACGTAGCATACAATTACCCCTCGTGGGTTATACAGCCAAGGCCCCCAGTACAGACAGATGGCTTTCTTACCTGAAGGTTGCACTGCTTCATGGATAGATCCATCCTGTCTGGGCTGAGATGTCCTGTCACACCAGCCCAGAGAAAATCCCTTCTGGGCTGAAGCCAGTCCCCCCTGCAGCGTGCAACGTGCTTCAATCCACATCGCTTCCCCTCAAAATATCAGCACCTCCTGGGAGCTGTTTCCTACCCAGGAGATAAGTGCTGGATCAGACTTGTGGCAGAGTTACATCCAGCCCCAGCCTGCTTCCCCTGGTTCATGCCCTGCAGACAAGATGCTGATGTGCATTAAGTGCCTACAAGGCCGTGGCCAGGCTCTTGGGAAAAGAAACAGGCAGCTAAGGAGAGGGAGCTGTGCTTCCCGCTCATGCAGAGACTTTGGGAGAATCACAAATAAAATGCTAACCTCATTCCTCACCCCATCACAAAATCCTCTCTGCTGACCCCTTGTTTGGAACAGAAGTCTTAAGCAGGGCCCCAGTGAGAAGCAGCAGCCCTAGGTCTGCCATGCAATGTCCTGGCTGTATTTCAAAAGCCAGTATTGGATTTTATTGCTAAAGATACAAAGATATGTGGTTCCCACAGCATGAGAAGCATTTTGTTCTTTCCACTGATCAATAACCCACGACTGAGCAGAAACCCCTCTTCTAAAAGCATTTTTGGATCCCTGTTTGCTGGAACTTGATATGTAAGGAGTGAGCATTTTGTCTCCGGGAAATATTGCACAGAGGGAGAGCTGCTCGTTTTTAAACAAAAAATCCAGTTCACTGGAACACACAGAAAGTATTAACAGGCACCATTTATCTCTTGGATTTTATTTGGTGTCTTCTTGTCCCAGCTAACAGCAAAAGAAACCTGACCTGAGCTCAGCTATAGCCCTGCAGAAAGCGTGGAGAGCACAAATTGGGCTCAAAGGAGGCTCAGTGGGGTAACCAAGGGCAAACAGATCACAGAGGACACTTTTGGATGTGAATTATCATGCTGCCCATCTGCACAGCGAGCCTCCCAGAGCCCAACCTGCCCTTCCACAGCCTGCTGCTATCAGACATCAACTTCTTTCACAGTGCCACCCGTGGTTTTCCTAGGACACAGAGCAGTACCTGTTTCCACAGCTTCTTTCCACAGATTCAGCATTGCTGTGCATCAAGGGTCAACAAAAATGCTCCCAGTGTCCAAATCTTTGTAGCATTCTTCCCTGTTTTCTTCCAATCTTACACTATTTTCCTGCCACATTTAGCCTTCCTGAAGACAGAATGGAACAGACAGTTCTGACACCTTCAAACTGCTTCCAGCAAGAATCCTTCCCAAAACGCTGAAGTTTTTTGGCACAAATAGCACTTACCTCACCTGACCATTCCAACCTTAAATATTTGAGCACCAATGGTCAGAACCCCAAATTACCATAAGGTAAAGCTGTTCTGACTTCATTTTGCAGGAGAGAAGTGGAGTGGTACATGAATGATTATGATAAGGGCAATAGATTTGAGATTTCTGTTCTTTATTTTCCATCTCAAAAGCCTTAAATGCAACTACTTATGCCTTCAATTTTCATCAAGGAATTTGCTCCTATTAACAACCCCCTGCACACTCTTGTTCTGGTCTTGCTAGTTGTGTCTCTGCTTCAGCATGTACATGAAGTATGAGAAACCTGGGCTGAAACCTTGGCTCAGAGGCATGCTGTGACAGCAGCTGTGCAAGACAGGAGCAGCCCTAACTTCCTGCCTCAGGCTCGATGCACTGACAGAGATATACCATGATGGAGCTGAGCCAGCAGGAGCCCAGCCCACTCGGAGCATTAGCAAAACCCCCTAAACCCCTCAGTTTACTCATGGCCACTTCAAACTCCCAGGGCAAGAGAGGACCCCAGAAATTTCTCCCCCAGCCCAAAGAGGATTAAGTCCTTGTGAGACTGCTGCTAAAACACTATGAGCATGGTCCAAGAGCAAGCAGTCCTAATGGGAGGGCTATTTGTGCTCTGTTTATGGTTTTCAGTTTCAAGGACCAAGAAAGAAATCCCTTCTCAGTAAGCCAAGGGCTGATTTTGTCTTGTCAGAAGTGCATCCTTGTGCCATCACCATTAACAGCAACCCCCTTCCCCTCTGGTTATCCCTTCACCACTAGCCAGCTAATATCCAGTGCTAATTACAGAATCATAGAACCAGCTGGGTTGGAAAAGACCTTTGAGATCATCAAATGCAGCCCATGACCAAACTCATCAACTAAATCATGGCACTAAGTGCCACATCCAGTCTTTCCTTAAACACCTCCAGGTACAATGACTCCACCACGTCCCTGGGCATCCCATTCCAATGCCCAGCCACCCCTTCTGTGAAAAACTTCTTCCTGATGTCCTTGTTCCTAACAAGAGGATACATACAGAGTATTCAGGTACCAGGAACCAGAGGCTATCCCACCTCTAAAATCCCCATGGCATTTCAGTTTGAGGTCTATCCACTGGCCACCCCCAAGAGCCATGGCCACTCCTGTGCCATGGACGGTGCCAGAGGCTGCAGGTTGCTCCACATGGATGGGTTCTCATTGCCATGCTGGCACTCAGGTGTGCAATGGGTGTTGGAATTTGCCCTGTGTGCTGCATAGGGCACCTCTGATCTTCTGGATTTCCACGTGGAAGCACATGGACATGTGTGCACAGGGCATGCACTGAGGGCGCCCATTTCTGGGTGGCACACAGAGCTGTGCCTGTGGCTCGGGTAAGCACTGACACAACAGTTTTCTCTGCAGCTCAGTCTGGCCACAGCAGCCCCAGACTGCAAGGAGTCTTCAGCTGGCAGTTCTGGCTTTGGCAGGGGCCA